CGCCACCCTTGGCGCGCTCCGCGCGCCAGTGAGGGGGGTCGGGCGCAGATTCGAGAAATCCGCGCGGACCTCCGAGAGTTTCTGATGTTTATGTCGTCGTTGGTTCCTCTAAGAATGGCCCTTCGCCAGAGTAGCTTCTGGTGCGGGCCCACAGCCGTGGCTCTGGATGCGCCGCGTTTTTGGGGCGATTCGCAGTTACGATAGGGGCGGGGGGATCTTCAGGCTCCTTGAAAGTCGATGTCCGCCCAGCTTTGCCGTCGCTGTTTCCGCCACAAGTTTATGCTTATGGCGTTTTTTCTTCTTCTAACGCTAGCCTAGGGCCACTCTGGCGTGCCGTCGGGAGGCGGCCGGGCGGCTCGCGGAGCTGTGGCTGGCGTCCGGGAAGTACGAGCTGGCGGAGCCGCCGCAGCGGCGCCGCCTCGAGCACCTCGAGCGCGCACAGGGGCGGACGCACCCCGACACCATGCCAGCGCGCAGCAACCTCGCGGTGCTCCTCCTCCTCCTCCTCCTCCTCCTCCTCCTCCTCCTCCTCCTCCTCCTCCTCCCCCTTCCCCTCCCCCTCCTCCCCCTCCTCCTCCTCCTCCTCCTCCTCCTCCTCTCCGTAGCCATTTTGGCTCAAGCCATTTTGGCTCAGGCTTTTCCGTAGGCTGCGGAGGAGTGGGAGGGGCACGAAATTTGATAGATAACATAGTTTTCGAATACCCTCCTCGCTCAGGCGGGGCCTCCCTGGAGGAGTGGGAGGGGCGCGAAACCTGATTTTTCAAAAGCATGGTTTTCGAATACCCTCCTCGCTCGAGCGGGGCCTACCTGGAGGAGTGGGAGGGGCACGAAGCCTGATAACTAGCATGGTTTTCGAATACTCTCCTCGCTCAGGCTCCCTGGAAGGGTGGGGGGGCACGTAACCTTGTAAATGGTATGATATCCCGACACTGTCCTCGCTCTGGCGTGGCTTCCCTGGAGTGGTAGATATGGTACGGTAGCTTTGGTCTTGTATGGTAGGTGCGGTATCAGTATGGTAGCTTTGGTATGGTATGGTAGCTTTGGTTTTGTGGGTGTGGTATGGTATGGTATGGTAGGTGGTGTGGTATGGTATGGTAGGGAGGCAGGAAAAGGAGGAGAAGGAGAAGGAGAGGGTGTTCTAGGAAAACAAGAACCCCACTCAGGATGTGGGGAATAAGACCTCGACATTGGCACCGCAAGCCGACTTGCAGCTACTGGACGAGCAGGCGCATAGTCACGTGTTGCAGGCGATTAGGAAATCGTTGCCCAACTACATGGCGGGCATTCGATGCTGGGCGGCCTTTTGTGATGCCACGTGCATCCGGCCGCATTTCCCAGCCCGCGAGGCTGGAGTTTTACGGTGTTGATTGGTCTTCGCCAGCCCGACACGTTTTGCACATACTTGGAGCATTTGAGATGGGCACATCGGCTTCTGCGCAAGACGATCTCATGGGACACGCAAGTAGTCCAGCAGGTGAGGCGGGGTCAGAGGAAATCTGCGCCTGCACCCCGCCCGCGCCTTGGCGTGCAAGCCCAGGCCGTGCGCAGGATCATCCAGCATTGCAACTCCACCAGAGACCGTGAGTTCGCTGCAATTGTGGCGATAAGCCGGATGTTCCTCCTTAGGGTTCCATCCGAGGCGTTGCCTCTGCAGCTCTCTGGCGCCCGCTCGAGCGTGCACTGCCGCGGCGGGACAGTCGAGATCGTGATGATGAACCGGAAACAGCCCATCGACACTCCAGCGCGAACGTTGTTACCATTCGAGCGGCCGCGCGTTGTGCGCGCACCAATGGATGCGTGAGGTTTCGCAGAAGTGCGAGTGGAATGGTCGTGGCAATTTGTTCGACAGATCGCCGTCTGCTTTTGCAAGTCAGCGACCTCCGGCGCTACGCCGCGGCTGTAGGCGTGCCAGATTACGATCGGTTAGGCAGCCACGCGTTCCAGCGCGGGATGGCTAGGGACATCCTGGGCGCAGGCGGATCCTCGGCGGCCCTGCTCAAGGCGGGGGACTGGAAGAGCGCCGCGTTCAGCGCGTACCTAAGAGAAAACCAGGCTGAAGAGACGGCCGTGTCACGTTTGGTTGTAGACCATCTCGATTCGGAGCAAAGCAAACAAAATTATGCACTCTCCCACTTTCTTCCCCGCCCCCTCGTCCCCTTTCGTTTCCCCGTTCTGGACACGTCGATCGCCGCGATGGGCAATGGCTCGCGATCGCCGCAAAGGGCGGTGGAAATGCGAGTCCGGAGCATGATGGCTTGGTCGGTTGTATTCCTCCCATCGTTCCGACCGACTCCTGTCCGTTCGGGTTGCATTTCTCGTTGCATTTTTCGCATATACTTGTCCTGAGCGGACGACTAGTTCCCTCACCACACAAATTGTTGTCGTGGATGGGAAGTGGGGGGGAGGATGAGGGACAGGAAGGGTTGCTGGTAGCAGGTGTTATTTCTCCCCCTGCCAGGCTTCACGTTTGGTTTGCGTATTATGTTGTTGTGCTTGCGTTGTCATATGATCGTGCGCATTCGGCGCACGGGCACCTTTGATGTCGTTTTAGTGTGTGCGCATGTTTCTAGTCCCCTCCCGCACAATCCCTGCGAGGGTGATGGCTTGGTCGGCTGCATTCCCCCCATCGTTCAGACCTATTCCTGCCCTCTGGGGTCACACTTCTCGTGGCATTTGTTGCATGCAGGTCTGCCCAGAATGGACGACCACTTTCCAGAGGATCCTCGTTACGAGGCTTTTCAGTCGAATATACGTGTGGTGTTTTCCAAAAGATTCCTGTCGTGAGGCTTTCCAATAGAATCCCTCTGCGGCGCTATCCAAAGGATTCATAGTGCGAGGGATTGAATCCTTTTGTGATCCTTTTCCGATGATTTTGTTGTGCGGCTTCCCAGTATGAGCCCTCAGTTGTGCTTCCGAAAAGGTTTTCTGGTGTGAGGTTTTCCCATGGAATCCGTCTGTGGTGTTTTCCGCTGTTTTTTTTGCGCGGCTTCCTAACAGGGGCCCCTTAGTGGCGGTTTTCAATTCAATAGAATCCCGCTGTCGTGCTTTCCAGAGGATCCCCTTTTTCTGTTGCATTTTCCAGTAGCGTTTTCCAGAGGATCCCTCTTGTGATGTTTTCCACTAGGAGACCTTCGTGCTGATTTCCAAAGAATTATCGTGCGAGGCTTTCCCATACAATCCCTGTGTGGTTTCTCAAGGGTTCCTGTTGCCAGACGCTCCGATCGAATCCATGTTGTTGCACTGTTCAAGCGATCTCTATTGCGGGGCCGTCCGATCAAACCTGTTAGATTCCTGGCCAAAGGGTTCCAGTTGTTTGTTCCCGCAGAATCCTTCTGGGGCACGTTCGCAAGGATTCCAACGATGATTGTGTCTAACAACATGCGCGTTGCTAGACCGCGCTTTACACATGATCCCTGTTGTGAGGCCATACAGCGGAATTTCTGTGTAGTATTTCGCACAGTGTTCCAAGCCCGAGGCTGTCCAATCGAATATTTTGTATTGTCAAGAAGGTTTCCTCTTGTGATGCGTCCCAATAGAAGCCTTCAGCCGTGTTTTCCAAACGGCTCCGATTATGAGGCGTTTCAAAAGAAACCCCTGGCAATAATTCCCAACGGGTTATTGTTCGAGGACATAGAATGTCTTTGCTTCGCTTTCCAGAAGGATTGCTTGTGATGCTTAAGGACAGAGATGCATACAATGTGTATGTGAGAGAGGGACAAAGGGAGAAAGCGAGAGAGGAAATATAATGATATATAATGATGAAGGCAAAACTGAAAGCTCGTAACAACTCTTTCGGTGAAATTCCAGCCCCATGCCGTTTGGCACAGGACTGGAGTTCCGAAAGGGCTCCTCCTCCTCCTTCTCCTCCTTCTCCTCCTTCTCCTCCTCCTCCTTCTCCTCCTCCTCCTCCTCCTCCTGCTCCCTCCTCCTCCTCCTCCTCCTCCTCCTGCTCCCCCCTCCTCCTCCTGGTGCTGCTACACATGAGGGGCAAGTTCACAGAGGCGGAGGCCCTCCATCTGGAGGTGCTGCGGGACTGCCAGCAGCGGCTGGGGCGGACGGACGAGAGGACCCTGTCAGTGTGCGCGGACCTCGCCTCTCTCGGAGAAGAATGACCGGCATCTACATGATCTTTCGGATCGGCATACACACGATCGCGTCGTAAAAGATTCAGGACGGGAGGTTTTTCGTTTTTTTTGCCCTTGGAAGCCCTCGCCGAGCCTCGGGACCGTCAAAAAACAATTCAGGATGATAAACTGGTCCCGGGGAAGGGGTCCCGACAATTGGGGTCGCGTCATGCAAAATCATGACGTCGGGGGTCCGGGACCGGCGTCGCCCTTGGCGCGCCAGGGGCGCTGGGAAGGGGGTTCCAGCGCCGATCCAAGAAATCCACGCGGACCTCCGAGACGTAGTGGCCCTGATGTGCGCGCGTGCCGAAACGCAACACGCACCGTGTTCAGCCTGTCTCGCGCACGCGCTGGCCCACGTTTTGGCGAACGCATCGCGCCAGACCTCACGCACGTGTTGAGCTGTGTGCCAACACGCCACGGGCTGCGTGTTGCGCATCGGGGCAGCCGAGCTCCGAAAGCTCATGCTTGCGCCGGCTGTCTCTTCTTCGGCTCTCTGATGTCGGCGGTGGGCAGGCACGCCGAGGCAGAGGGGCTGCGGCGGGAGATCTTCGAGGCGCGCGGGGCGAGCCTGGGCGAGCTGCACCAGCAGACGCTGGCGGCGGAGCACGAGCTCGGGATGGCCCTGCAGCAGCTGCCGGACAGGAGGGAAGACTCGATCAGGCGTCGGCCGCCCGCGCAGAGGGGCTTCGCAAACGGGGGGTCCCCTGCTTTCCTCCTCCTCCTCCTCCTCCTCCTCCTCCTCCTCCTCCTCCTCCTCCTCCTCCCTCCTCCTCCTCCCTCCTCCTCCCTCCTCCCTCCGATCCTGGAGGGGGAAGGGCAGGATGGGGCAGGGTGGGAGCCCGCTGGGGGGGGGGGGGCTGGCCGAGCGAGGTGGCCCATGGTACTGGTTTTCGGCGCCTGGGGGGCCGCTTTCGGGTCTCGGGGCCGCCGGGAATCGATCCGGAGTGGACGACTTGTCCAGGTGCACCCCAGGAGGGATCCAGGGGCCGACCCTGAGATCCTGGCGCTGCACTTTTTTCACCACGGGCGTTTTCGCTCGTCTTCGGGCCCCGGGACCCTCACGGATCGATCCGGCTCGAAAAATGATGCAGGAAGATTGCATGCGTCGCGATGCTGCATTTTTTCGCAGCGTCGGATCTCAGGGGATGTTGAGCGGATTTGCCATCATCCTCCCCTCGGGGCCCATCCAGCGCAGGCCCCCCGGCCAGCTCCGAGGGAGGTGCGGAAGGTTCTTGTCGTGTCGACCGGCGGCGACCCCGCCAGCGACGTTCAATTTTGAACGCCGCGGGCGACCCAGAATCGTTCGATGTGGAACGATTTGGACGTTTCGGAAACGGCCGATCGTTCAAGGTTGAACGATCCCCGCTCAATCCCTCAGATTTACTCATACTCAGGCTACCTCGCAAGAGCAATCCGGCTCACACTGATACCTGTACTATACTCATCTTTTACACTGTCTGGCCTGATTGAAATCTTCGTTGTTCTGCCTTCAATTATGCGACCCATTTGTGGACGACACCTGTTATTTCAACCATGGAGAAGGGTGGAAGAATGAAGGCTCAATCGAGCATGGGCCAGACTCCCAAGGACAAGAAACTAAAGGCTGAAGGACGGAAAAAGGAGGAACCAGAAGACGTCGAAGTGGAAGAGGAAGAAGGCGAGGAGGAGGACATGAAATGCATGATGAAGAGGATGTTGAAGATTATGGCAGGCACCGGGAACGACATGCAAGATACCGCGAAGGATGCGCAAGAGGCCAAGAACATCGCACGTCAGGCGAAGCTGACAGCGGACATGGCCAGACAAGCGGTGGAGGAGATCAAGAAGACGAACGAGACCATGGAGAAAGGCATTCAGGAAATGACAGCAAACATACAGAGTAAAGCAGGTAATAGTCAGACGAAGGAGGGGACTACAAAGAAGTTGTCGGAGAAGGAGGTGCGTACCAGACAGGTCATCGCCTTCGGCTTCAAGGAAAAGCTCGCTGCGGAGAACATGTTAGAAGAGCTTGAACATATCGTTAAAACATTATTTGGGGACGATTCGAATACAGTTGTGGAAATAACAAAGAACCCAAACTAAAATCGGAGCGGTTGAGTTCCCGAGCGCCCAAACAAAAAAGTGTGGAAGCATGTACGGGATAAGTTGAACGACGACGAGGATGTTTTGGATATGTGTTTTCCCAGAACAATATGACCAATGAAGAGCGGGAGCGAGAGAAGTGGATGGGGCACGCAAACGATCACTTCGACCACCATTCAGACCATAAGAAAAATGGTGTTAAAAGATTATGAGTAAAGGGTATGGTAGTGGTAAGAGATGATACGGGAGTGGAGAGGAAGATCGCACAGTATGACGAAAGGGGAGGTGGCACACAAGAGCGACAGGAGTGGCTGTCGAGAAGGAGGTGGAGGAATCGATGGACATGTGGCGCGACAAGGTCATTCCAGACCCTGCCACGGAGAGCGAATGACGGCGTGGAGAGCCACGCGGGCAGCTTTGGACTGCCCCAAATACCAATCGAAGGTCGGCACCAACATTATCATCCTCACACCTTGGCGAAGGCGGGCGAGCACGCCACTCGCCAGCCAACGCATCCTCCTACGGACCAGGACTTCTGAATTTGACTCTGCGGCCGAGGGAAGACAATGGGAAGCAGCTCATTCAACATGTTCCCGGCGAAAGTTCTAACAGTGTTGGCGGGGCTTGCAAGCCTTTACGATCCAGCTCACAGGTACAGAAATCAATCGGGGGAGGTCGGGGATTTATGGAGGTGTTGACGGAGATTTTCCTGCAGGATCAATTCAGCCCACCAGGGATTACACGAACGTCAGCCTCCAGGAGCTTGCGCCGACGGCCAGAACAGGCACGACGACGGAAATTTCGACTATTACAGATGTCGTCGACGATTTGTTTGCCAGAGCTTTCGCAAAGAATGCGCGTCCTTCACAAACTACATTGCGGGGGGAGGAGTTGTTTGAGGAGTTGTAGTGCTCGGAGTGGGATTTTGCGCTTCTGACATAAACTTGGCGCGAGCACAGAAGATAAAATGTGGGAACAACAGGAGTGGGCACATGTTCTGCGGCTCAGGAGGCCTCGAGGGAGCAAATGGGACGGGGATCTGACTACACGAGCGGCGGGCGGGTGGATACCGTGCTTTGAGTACGCGCAGTAGGCGTCAGAATCGCAGACCGGAGTATTGGATTTATCTGCGTTGACATGCCGCGCGGTGGATAAGGCGATGCAGACGCGGGGGGCATTTATTCTAATTTGGACCAGTTGCTGCGAGCAGCGAGGAAGAGAAACAACATGCGCATATTCTTATTCTTGGCGATTGGAATGCGACAGCGGGGCCCCATAACGATGGGGGCGATGGGGGAGTCATTGGACGACGCGGCGCGGGCTGCAGAAACGAGGGGGGGGGGGGCAGCGGTTCGCTCGATGGGCAACGACGCAAAATTTGGCGATTGCAAAAGCGATGTTTGAGCAGAGCTTCGACGAACTATGGGCGTGTCAAAACGACGGGGTAAAGCGATATTTGGATTATTGTTTTTGGTTGATTTGCGACGGAAGGGCACTGCGCTGGGCGCCGCGGCGAGCGATGGCGCCATTATCGATCAAGATCACCGCGCCCTCGAGGTCACAATCAAAGATAATAAATCAGATAGGCAATCCAAGCCGAAGAAATTGAATTTGTGGCGACGGAGCCCGTCAGGCAAGGGGCACGGGGGAGTTTGGGCAAACTCGACGCAACAGCGGAGCCGATGCCGTCGATCGCAGAGAACGAGTCGACGTTGACGGAGATCGGGCAACGACGCCAGGCAATGGAGCGCTCTATATTTGCGGCCGCAGAGCTTTGCGACGAGACAAGGGAGCTCGAAACGCGGGAAAATGAGACTGCAAGGAGCTGGCTGCGACAGATGACCGCCCGCAGACGGTCGGCAAGACAAGACGATGGCAAAGAAGACGAGGCCATTGCGAGCAAAGCCATCAGGAAGGACATTCGCCCCTCGGCGAAGGCGAGGAAGGGCGCTCGCATTAGCAAAGCCAGAGCGGCGACGACCGCGCCGAGCCCGCGTCGCCAGAAGAGGCGCGAGGCCAGCGGGATAAAATGCGAGGCGTCAAAGTCGTTGACGAGAATGGCATCGCGGCTGGATTGTTGAGCAAGGGGAGCGAAATACTGCTCAAAACGATTGCAGACGCGCTTACGGCTGCGCTGCGACCTGAGGCGACTATTCCAGCCTACTGGAAATCTTCTGCAACCAGAGTCATCTTCAAAAAAGGGGGACGACATGCAAGGAAATTGCAGTCGTCTCTGTATCATCCCACTTGTGTGCAAGCTTTTCCCCTGGCATCGCGCGGAAAAGTATGGTGTTTTCTACGCGTGTGTATATATATATGTATGTATGGACGTATGTAAAGAATAATACATATAGATATTTATACATAGAAAATTAGTGATTTCATACTAATATTATGATCAGGCTGGATTTCGACCAGGGTTCGGTTGTGATGACCACCTGTTTGCCGACGCCCTGTTAACGGAGAAGTGCAACGAGTTCAACGTCCCTTCGTGGGTCGCTACACCGGACTTCAAAAAAGGCTTTCGATTCCACGTCGCATGCCAGTCTCTGGGATCCCATATTGGAGGACATCGACCAAACAAAAGGGGGGCATTGATTAGCGCTGCCCGTCGGGAACCTAAAAATCGCCTCTTGGGGCGCTATTGGGGCGCTCTTGGGCGTTCTTGGGGCCGTTTTGGTGCTCTTTTGGGCCTCTCTTGGAGCCCTCTCGGGCCATCTTGGAGCCATCTTGAGGCCTCGGATGGCCATCGGAAGCGAAAAAGGCGAGAAAGTCAACACACCTTGATTGTCCGAAGGTTTTGGAAGGAGTTTGGCCTCTTCGGGGCCTCCTGGGGGAGCTCCTCGGCCACTTAGAGCCGTCTTGGCGCGGTCTTGGGGCCTCATGGAGCACCGCGGGGGCCATCATGAGGCATCTTGGGATATCTTGAGCCATATTGGAGGGCATCTTGGGCTCGCCCAGGCGCTCTTGGAGTCATCTGAATCAGTTGCCCCCCCAGGAGGCCAACATGTGGTCAAATCTTAGTCAAACCAATGACTTTGGCATTCTCGCCGGAGCCTCTTGGAGCGTCTTGGGGGCCTCTGGGGGGCCTCTGGGGGCCTTTGGGGGATCTCGTGGGGGCCTCTTGGGGGCATCCTGGGGGCCTCTTGGGGGACTCCCGGGGCCTCCTGGCCACTTCTTGGGGCCCTCTTGGGGCACCATAGGGAGCCTTCGGAGCGCTCTTGGGGCCATCTCGGGGGAGATCAATCAAGGGGGGGGTCCTTAATTAGGGCCCCCTTCCAGGAGGCCAGAATGGGGCCAGTAAAACCAATGATGTTGGCTTCCTCGCCGAGGCCGTTTTCGACGCTCCATCTACCCGAGGAACCCCCCGTCCAGGTCCAAGGGAGGGGGTAGGGGAGGGGTAAACCACTCCCCGAAGGGGAAGAAAAGGGGTTGGAAGAGGAAGCTCCCTAGACCATCTACGCCCTGAAGGGCTGGTGGGATTCAACATACCCGGATGGATCGACGAGCGACGCTCCAGGCGTCAACGTTGGAGTGAACGATTGTGCCAACTGAATGCTGAACAGTGGGCCCGAAGAGTACAGGATTGGATTCCAGAAGGGCAGAGAGCCCGCGGGCGCCCGCAGGCACGATGGGCCGACCAGCTTACACTGAGCCCTTAGGGCACGCAGCCGGGCGCTAGCGCGTGCGGCTCGTACTCAGTGTTCCGTTCCGTTCCGTCCAGCGGTGCCGTGAACAAATCGCGACGGGAGGTTTTGTATCCCATTTTCAGCCACTGGGGGCCATCGCTGGGCCTAAGTCAGGCGTGTCCCTTTTACAGGGGGGAATATTCAAGAATAATCCACATAAATAGCATGGTGACGATTTGTCTTGTATCCTTATATATATACACACCTATGCACATATGCATATACCTAGATGTGTATATATGGGCACGACACGAACCTGCCGTTTTTTTGTGTGGTCTGTGTCCTTCATGGCGGGGCCCTGCCAGGCACTTGTACCACGCCTGGCAGGGGCGGAAGGAGACGCTGGGGCAGGCTGGAGGGTTTCTCCGAAGGGCTTAGGCGACCCGTCCTCCTCCTCCTCCTCTCTCCCCCTTCTCTTGCTCCTCCTCCTCCTCCTCCTTCTCCTCCTCCTCCTCTTCCTCTTCTTCGTCCTCCTCCTGCTCCTCCTCCTCCCTCCTCCTCTTCCTCCTCCTCCTCCTCCTCCTTCTCCTCCGCCTCCTCCTCCTGCTCCTCCTCGTCCTCGTCCTCCTCCTCCTCCTCCTCCTCGCCCTCCCTTCCTCGGGTCGCCTCGGCGCTGCTCCTCCTCCTACTGCTTCTCCTGCTCCTCCTGCTCCTCCTGCTCCTCCTGCTCCTCCTACTCCTCCTACTCCTCCTCTCCTCCTCCTCCTCCTCCTCCTCATCCTCCTCCTCCTCCTCCTCATCCTCCTCCTGCTCCTCCTCCTCCTGCTCCTCCTGCTCCTCCTCCTCCTCCTCTTCCTCTTCCTCTTCCTCCTCCTCCTCCTCCTCCTCCTCCTCCTCCTCCTCCTCCTCCTCAATCCTCATCCTCCTCTTCCTCTTCCTTGTCCTCCTCCTGCTCCTCCTCCTCCTCCCTCCTCCTCCTCCTCCTCCTCCTCCTCATCCTCCTCCTCCTCCTTCTCCTCCGCCTCCTCCTCCTCCTGCTCTCCTCCTCGTCCTCCTCCTCCTCCTCCTCCTCCTCGCCCTCCCTTCCTCGGGTCGCCTACGGCCCCGGGGGAAACCGTCCGGGGCAGGCTCACGAGGTCACGCTGTGCTCGCTCAGCCAGCTCACACAGGTCGTCGTTTTTATGCATTGTTTTGCCGATCGGCGCGGGCCCTCGCACCCCCCCCCTTGGAGTAGATCCTGGCTGTTTGGGGCGCATGTTTCGAGCAGGTGGAGTCTCCCCCACAGGACGTTCTGTTGCAAACCGTCGCACTAAGCAGAGGTCTGGAGCCAGACCCCCCCTCCCGCCCCTTTTCCGCCCAATGTCGAAACGCCGAATGAAAAAACGCTCATTAGATGCTGCGGTCTCTGGGGCCGAGCAGGTTCGAGGACTCCGAGACCGAGAGATTCTTCTACCACCTCTGGAGCACTCGCAAGGATCGGCGGGCGCCGACTCTGTGCGCCAGGCACCGATCATGGCCGGGCCGACCCGGGATCCGGGACTGGCGTGTATGGGGCAGTCTGGCAAACGCGAGGGTGTGCGGTCGGGATTTTGTGTTTCGGTTCAGCATGTCGTTCTGGTGCGAGGCGCTGCTCCTCCTCCTCCTCCTCCTCCTCCTCCTCCTCCTGCTCCTCCTCCTCCTGCTCCTCCTGCTCCTCCTACTCCTCCTACTCCTCCTCCTCCTCCTCCTCCTGCTCCTCCTCCTCCTCCTCCTCCTCCTCCTCCTCCTCCTCTTCCTCGTCCTCCTCCTCCCTCTCCTCCTCCTCCACCTCCTTCTCCTCCTCCTCCTCCTACTCCTCCGCCTCCTCCTCCTCCTCCTCCTCCTCTTCCTCCTCCTCCTCTCCACCCTACCCTCAAAAAATGGTCCTCTTCCCACCTGGCACGATACCCCTCGGCGCGACGCGCTATCTACGGCCCCATTCCCAGGCGTACACGTCCCGAGCCCAACCCTTCAGAGAACACATGGGGGAAAAAGAAGGAGATGAGAAGAAATAGGAAAAAAAGAGGCGTGTTACGATTAATGGGAGGAGGAGGAGGAGGAGGAGGAGGAGGCCTCTTGGGAGCCTCTTGGGGCACTCTTTTGGCCTGCTGAGAGCTTCCTGGGAGCCTCTTGGAGACCTCTTGGGGGGTTCGTTGGGCCTCTTTGGGGCCTTCGGAGGCTCTTTGGGATGCTCGTTGTCTGTCTACCGGCGTTCCTGGCCCGTCTGACGCCGTCGGAAGCCGTCTTGCCGTCCTCTCTGGGCTGCCTTGGGGCCCTCTTGGAGCGCGTCAGGGCTGTCTCGGAAACCATTTTGGGCGTATTGGAGGTCTCCTGGGCCGTTTTGGGCCCTCTTGGAGCCGTTTGGGGGGCCGCTTGGGCCGCCAAGAGGCCATCTCGGAGGCTTCTTGGGCGCTCTTGGTGCCATCTTGGTGGCTTGTGGGGCCGTCGTCTTGGCATTCGGAAAGCCGAAACTGCGCAAACGCCAAACACTGTCCTAAACCTTCGGAAATGAATGGTGTTTGCCGCTTCGGGCCTTCGGAGACGATTTTGGGCGTATTGGAGGTCTCCTGGGCCGTCTTGGTGTCCTCTTGGGGCCGTCTGGGGGGCCGCTTGGGCCGTCAGGAGGCCATCTCGGAGGCTTCTTGGGCGCTCTTGGTGTCATCTTGGTGGCCTGTGGGGCCGTCTTGAGCCGTCAGAAAGCCCAAAATGAGCAAACGCCAAAGTCCTCGAACATCTAAGAATGATCAACGCTTGTTCCCCAATTAGGCTTGCCTAAGGTGCTCTTGCGTGGTTAGAGATTGGTGCCTCTAATTATTATTTTGCCCATTGCTCAGAGGTTCCTCGGGTTCCTCAGGTTCCCCGCCCCCCGTGCCTCCTAATGTAACGTTGCCCGTTGCCCAAAGGTTCCTCGGGTTCCTCTGGTTCCTCGGGCTCCCCGCACCCAATGCCAAGCAATGCCAACCCAATGCCAAGCAATGCCAAGCGATGCGCCTGGCGATGTGCCCAGCGATGCATGCAGTAGGCTTTCCCCTACATGGGGCCGCGCCTTGGAGGCCTCTTGAGCCGTCTTGGAGGCCGTCTTGGGCGATCTTGAGGCCATCTTGGGTGCATTTCGGCACGTCTTAGATTCTAAGAGACATCTTGGGACCGTCTCTTGAGGCCATCTTGGCCGTCAAGGTTTTTACGCGTCATTCTGGGTGGCCAGCGGGTTGGGCCGAAGGCCCACCAGAGACTTGTAAAATGACGACAGAAGCCGTACTGCGGGCCTCTAGGCCGTCGTGGGGCCTTCTTGGGGCGCTTCAGGGACGTCTTGAAGGCCATGTTGGACGTCTTGGAGGGCCGTCTTGGGAGCGGGCCGTCCTATATTGGAGGCCTCTTGGGCGATCTTGGGGCAATCTTGGGGGCCTCTTGGGCCATCGGGCGGTTTTGTGAAGCAGTTGTCAAAATCCTTTCAAAACCTGAGGACGATCCATGATTGTGGTCTCTTCGGGCCTTCCTGGAGGACCTCTTGAAGGTTCTCGGGCCTTTGAGGGACCTCTTGGGCCGTCTTGGTAGGCCGTCTTGGGTGCATCATGGGCCGTCTTGAAGACATGTTGGCGCCATTTTGGCCGTCTGGGCCATCTTACGCCATATTGGCCGTCTTGGGGACGATTTGACCAATGAGAGGTGGATTTGGGGGAGCTCTCCGGGTGGCTGGCGGGTTGGGCTGAAGCCCGAAAAGAACCAAAAATTTCCCGGAGAGCTCTCTGAGAGCTAGAGGGTTTTTAGAGTAGAAGCCGGACGGTGGTGGTGCCTGCCAGCAGCCCATCTTCGCCGCTCCAGAATCCCCGCAGCAGCCTGAAAAACCTCGCAGCGTGTCCGGGAGCGCTTCTGGCACGCATCCACGCGTGCCTGCACGCGTGCAGGCACGCATGGAAGCGTGCCTGGCAGCGCTTCAGAAGCTCTTCAGGAGAGGTCCCCAGAGCTCTCCAGGAAAGATTTCCTGTCCCCGAGGGTCTCTTCGCTCTCCGGGTTTTGGACGCTACCAAGTTGCCAGACGTTTGTGCACCTCCTGTGGCAAGACCACAGGGGCTGGCGGATCTAGCGGGCTTCTGCCCATCCTGCCACCGCGCCTGGGATGCAGGTTGGCGACTTCATGGAGACTTGTTGGGGTGTTTTGGGATGCATCTCCAGGGCCTCATGGAAGCAGAATTTGAAGCCTCTGGGGAGCACCTTTGACGTGCCATTTTTTTTTTTGTTGTTTTGTTTCTCTCTCTCTCTCTCTCTCTCTCTGGGCAGCATCTCGGGGGCCCTTTGGAAAGACTCTTTGGAGCCTCTTGGGGGCTCCTTCGGGGCATCGAGAGCGCCTGCTGGCAGTCTCGGAGGTCCTCTCGGATCGCGGAGAGCTCGACTCTCAAGGCTGCATGAGCCTCGAGGTACTCCCGTACGCGCCAAGGCACGGGGGCGGAAAGTAGGAGTATACATGCTGGGCGTTCCAAACATGGCCTTGTCTTCGAAGATAGAAAGAGATGTCATCTTCTCTTCCTCGTCGGAAGGCGGCGGAAGTAAAACCAGGCCGCCTCCGCCGGCGGAGGCTCGGCGGAAGGCGGCGGAATTCAAAGATGTGTCCCGAAGAGATGAAACCGTTTTTGGGTTCAGGGTTTTCGAAATCGCCCATGACATGAATACGGAAAAAGAGTGGTTGCGCAAAAAGCGGGAGCGTAATCCACAGAAAACGTGAGCGGCCCTGTGGCGACAGCGACATTTTGCTGTGTCGCGCGCGACGTGCGCCGCGCCCGAAACCCGTCATGCGTGTTGCACCGTGGACTACAAAGAGTCCATGTGGAGCTTAGTGGGCCCTGGAAACGACAGGGCCGGTGTTTTGCCGTTTTTGTTCCCAATTCCGACGCCGTTGTGTTGCCGGTCCCGGCGCCGTCTTTCTTCCAGCTCCGGCTCTGGTTCCATTCCCGCAGCCGTTGTTCTGCCGTTTCTGAGCGCCGTTTGTTTGTCGTTTATATTTTCAAGACATGTTTTCCGGAAACGGTGAAAGAATTGCCTTTGCGTCAGAACATTGCAACCCCTCTGCCTCCCAGGGCTGCATGAGCCATGGGACAGTCCACCACGTGCTGAAGGCAACGTGGCGGATTCTTCTGGGCCATAAAGCAGGTTGGTTGGGAGGTTTGGCCAGGGTGATCCAGGGTTGGCAACAAGGTTGGTCGGAGGGCTGGCCTGGGCAATTCTTCGATGGGCAGGTCTTCCCACGAAAGATATGGCAGGTGTGTGGTCGGGACCCTCCGAAAGGAGGCCAAGGGCGCGCGGCACCCCAGCACCCTGGTCGCGCTGACCCAGCTGGCGACAGTCTGCTGGCACCTCGGCAAGTACGGGCACGCCGAGCAGCACCTCCGGACCGTCCTGCAGCTCCGCAGGGCCATCGGCGAGTCTCACGAGGCCAACGAGCCAGGGCGAGCCGCCGAGGTGGCATCGGAGGTTGCCAAAGGAGTGACGCAGGAAGTCGGGGCTGTCTTCACCGACGTTGGCGCTTAAGCTACCCGCGCAAGGTCGCGCGTGAGCGCCCTCGTTTCCAAGACGGCGTGCCACGCTGGCGGCCCGCGTGAGCCACCGCGCAAGGTCGGTTCGCAATCTCGCGTAAAACCCGGTTGCGCTCGTCGCTCAAACGCATTCATGGCCCGAGGGAAGCTGCGTCGACGAGCCAGGAGGCCCAAGTCTGGCAATACGGCAGGCTGCCGTCAGGCGTCCTGCGGCCGTGCCTGCTGCTCTGCGCTGGGCCCAAGAGGGGTCTCCTCCATTCCTTTTCCATAATGATTTCTCCCTGTCGCACCCCGAGGCCGGTTGGCCTGAGGCTTTCTCGCCATTTATGGCTCTGAAGCTGAGACATTGGCAACAGTTTCGCAGAAAGAGGGCGGGTGGTTTTCAAAATGTGGCTCTCGCCTGCGCGCGGCGCACATTCGTTTTGAACACTTTGCAAGAGCTTCACGGATCGAGGGTGGGTCGTTTTCACAATGTGGCTCTCGCCTTAGCGCGGCGCAGATTCGTTTACAAAAATTGCAAGAGCTTCTCGGATTGAGGGCGGTTCGTTTTCAAAGTGTGGCTCTCGCCTTAGCGCGGCGCACATTCGTTTTCAACAGTTGCAACATTTTCTCGGATTGAGGGCGGTTCGTTTTCACAATGTGGTTCTCGCCTTAGCGCCGCGCACATTCGTTTACAAAAATTGCAACAGTTTCACAGATTCCCATCATCAACATACCAGAAATGGTGTTTTGAAAGGACTCAGGATTACGTGGGCGCAACAGTCAAGTTGATCCGCTGTGTTGAAGTCAAAGGAATGGGGTTCTAGAACGATTCGGGATCGTCAACACGCAATCATCGGGTTGATCCGTGGTGTTGGAATTCCGAGAACCATGTTTTGGCATGTTTCAGGGTTTTCAAACGGTTGTCTTCCAACGAGGCAATTCCCTCAATAGAAATTAACCGTTGCAGGGCCCTATGAAGAGAGAGCTTGGAGGGTGGGTTTATTCCAACATCGTTGATAACTCTTGGGTTTGCATTGGTCCTCCTCCTCCTCCTCCGCCAGCCCGTTTAACTCGGAGGTCTCTGAATTGTCGGGATCTTTCATTCGCCGAGCCATCTCGGAGTCCGAGGTGTGTCCGATTTTGTGGCTCCGCGGCCTCACTCTCTCCTCCTGGACTCGGGTCCCTGAGCCCCCCGACCAGTCTCTCGCGGTCTCTTCGGGTGCCTTCCCTAACCTTGGTGGGGATCGCATCTGGGGAGCGTGGAATGCTAGCGGGAGTGAGTTAACTAGGGACAAGAGGCTTCGGAGAGTGGCTTGGGGCGTCGCGGTGTTCAACCACAGCTTGGAGTCTCTCCCCAATGCCGTGGGTGTTGCGAGCTCGATGTTTGGAGTTCTCGCCTGAAAGATCTCGGGTAGGGGGTGTCACGGACTCTGCGTATGTGTCGCGGGGGGTGGCCAAGATCTGAGGGTTAAATCAATTTCAAATCCGCTCTCTCCGTGATCTGTGGGATATAGTTGCCATGTTGTGCCGTTCCAGGGATGTGTAGTTCCGTCAATTCCGAACCAATGGGAGTTACAGGAGGCAGTGCGTGCTGACATGAATCCTGGCCATGTCATAGGCAACGCGATTGCCGATTCAATTGCCGAGGAGATGTCTGCCGATGCCCAAGTCCCGTATGCTGTTCGAGCGTCGGTGGCTTGGGCATTGGGCAGATAGCATGTACATATAACGGGGAACCGGGCCCGGGAGCCCGGGGGCCACGACCTCTACCACAAATGCGTGGCGGGGGCCCGGCCGAACCTTGGGGGACCCAAAATCGCTTCGGAGGGCGGTCCGATGAGCGTCACGGCGGCCCCAGCCAGCCGCCCACCACCTTGAAGACGGCTTCGACGGATCACGGAACGTCTCCAACGGCCCCAGAGGCTTCGAAGACGCCTCTTAACCCGTGCTATTTGCCCCCTATGAGGGCCACGAGAGGCAAAAATAGCTCCATTCCCTTTGTAAAAACGTACGTTTTTACCGTATTCGTGCTTCTCGTCGTCGCACAATCTTTGACGACCTCAGGGGCCCCTAAGATCGCCCCCTACACGGCCCAAGAGGCCCCCCAGAGGGCGCCAAGACGGCCCAAGAGGGTCCCAGAGGCACCCAACGGCCTCCCACAGGGCTCCTAGAGGAGCCCAAGATGGGGCAATCCAATTGGAATTGCCAGCCTCACGCCCCAAGAGGACCCCCGAGACCCCCAAGAGGCCCCTAAGCAGCCAACCAGAGGCCTCCAAGACGCCTCATAACCAGTGCAATTTGACCCCCCAGAACACCCCATGAGGCAAAAGTTGCCCCATTCCCTTCGTAAGACAAATGTTGACCGCATTCGTGTTTTTCGTCCTCGTGCCGCCCTTGACAGCCTCGGGGGCCCACACGATCGCCCCAACACGGCCCAAGAGACCCTCCAGAGGGCGCCAAGACGGCCCAAGAGGATCCTAAGACAGTCCCAGAGGCAGCGGAGATGGCCCGAACGGCTTCCCAAATGGCCCCAAGAGGAGCCCGAGCTGGGGAAATCCAATTGGAATTGCGAGCCCGCCGCCCCAAGAGGACCCCCCTAGACCCCCAAGAGGCCCCCAAGCAGCCCCCAAGAGCCTTCCAAAACGCCACACAACACGTGCAATGTGTCCCCCAAGAGGGCCCCGAGAGGCACAAATGGCCCCATTCCCTTCGTAAACCCGCTTTTTTACAAGATTCGTTTTTGTTGGTCTTCGTATCGTCCTTACCGACTTCAGGGGCCCCCAAGATCGCCCCAATACGGCCCAGGAGGCCCCCCGGGGGCCCAAGAGTGCCCCAAGACGGTCCCAGAGCCACCCAAGACGGCCCCTATGGCCTCCCGAAGCGCCCCGAGTGGAGCCCACCCAATATAGCGGGCCCCCCCCGAGTGGAGCCCCAATTGGAATTGCGAGCCCCCCCCGCCCCAAGAGTACCCCCAAGGGACTCCCAAGAGGCTCCCACGAGGCCCCCAGAGGCGCCCAAGAAGCTCACAGGAGACCCCCAAAACAAACCTTTGAAGCGGGCATCGACGATGACGACGACGGCCGACGACGGCCGACGACGTGCACGAACGCGCGCGCACTCCCACGCGTCGCGCGTGCCCGCGCCGAGCGGCGCTGGGCAGTGCGGGGCAGCGCCTCCCACGGGGTTCCCAAGATGCCCTCAGGAGGCACGACTGCGTCACGCGCCTGTGCTTGATAGCGCTGCCCAAGATCATCCAGCGCCCCCCCGGCCGGGGCTAGAACTTGAGCGCGCGCGAAGCGCGCGCGATGGTTCTAATCACATATAAGATCCAGACCCATGTAGCGTGCGTTACGGAGGGTGTGCTGGAGCGGGAAGGCAAGAGGCTTCCCCGCCCCCCCAAGCTTCGAGTCAGGACTACAGCGGCGGATAGGCTCCGTTGCGCGGCCCTGGCCACGGAGCACGCGTGCCTTCAGGTCGTTGGTGACTTCTCCCAGTGCTCCAAGTGTGGGTGTCGGGCTTTTGGTCGGGACCTGGCCTGTTTTTTTGGCCACTCCGAGCTCCCCCATGGTTTGGAGCGGAGCTGTTTTCAGGCCCACGGGAATGGTTTGTCTCAGAGCTCGGGAAGCGCAAATGGCTCACAGCATTGCGCTCTGGCCCAATGAGCAAGTCCTCTGGTGCTTAGCGTGCGGATGCTACTGCTCTGTCGACGCCCTCAGGGGACTGGCCACGCCTTGTTCAGGTCGACTCTCGAGGGCGGGGGCTCATAGTATGTCCTGCATAAGCAAGGGCCTTCTGCCTGGCAGCAGGGTCTGGGGCAGGGAGCCGAGAGAGCGGGGGGAGCGGGGGATATTGGGAGAGAGAGAGAGAGAGAGAGAGCGGCGAGCGCGGCGCCCGCGCCCGCGCGCGGCGCCCGCGCCCGCGCGCGGCGGGGCGGCGATCAACAGCAGCTTGGTCGCCATCAGGCGCCGCCCTGCTTCTCTCCCCCCGCCTCCGCCTCCGCCCGTGCCCGACCCTGCCTCTGCCTTGCCTGGTCTGGCCCTCCTCTTCATCATCATCATCATCATCATCATCATCATCATCATCATCATCATCATCATCATCATCATCATCATCATCATCATCATCATCATCATCCCTTCCTCCTCCTCCTCATCCTCATCCTCATCCTCATCTTCATCCTCATCCTCATCCTCATCCTCATCCTCATCCTCATCAGCAGCAGCAGCATCATCAACATCATCCGCCTTCTCCTCCTCCTCCTCCTCCTCCTCCTCCTCCTCCCCCTCCTCCTCTTCCTCTCCTCATCATCATCACCATCACCATCAGCACCCTCATTATCATCCTAGTCCTCATCCCCATCCTCATCTTCATATTCATATTAATCCTACCTGTCCTCCTCCTCCTCGTCCTTCTCCTCCTCCTCCTCCTCCTCCTCCTCCTCCTCCTCCTCCTCCTCCTCCTCCGCCAGCCGACGGCGGCACGCTGCCTCCGCCCTCGCGGAAGACAGGTGCGCCAAGCTCTTGCTGCTCCTCGTCCTCGCCCTCGGCGTGCGTCCAGGGTGCTGGCCCAAGGCGTCCTCAGCGTTTCGCGCCGTTCGCGAGCCTCCTGGTGCCCCCCTGGGCCCCCCGCGAGGGGCGCCGTGGAGGCCGTCCTGTGCCTCCCTGCAGAAGCCGGGGCCGCCCCCAGGCCAGGGACACCTTTGGCAGCACCCGAGGTGGCGACAGCCCTGAACTTGGCGAGGGTGCTCCAGAAAAGGGGGCAGCTCATCTCGGCGGCGAGCGAGGGGGGGGGGTCGTAGTTTCGGGTTCGAGGTTTTCTGGCGTTTTCGTAGTTTCCTGGCGGCTTTCTGCCTTCGGGGTGCGTTCCAGCGGCTGCGCCTCGCTGCGAGCGTTCCAGGGGGGCCCGGATCGTCCCGAACGGCCACCGGAGGGCCGAGCTACTACCCAAAGACCAAATTCAGTGGCGAACCCAGGGGGGAAAGTGAGCAGGGGAAGGCCTGCTCAGAAGATGGCGGGGCTTCTCAGAAGGCCTCCGGCCTTCTGAGAAGTGTTCCGTGTCTTCGGGGAAGGCTCAGAAAGCTTGGGGTCTCCGAGCCTTCTGAGCAGGCCCGCCCCTTCTCACTCCCCTCCCTCGTTCGCCGCCGATCATCAAGAAGCTAGAGGACGACACCGAAGAGGACGCAGAGGATCTCTTCCAGGACCCAGCGGCCGGCCACGATGGGGGACAAGCGAATGGGCGGTGGCGTGTGAATAGTTAGTATATATAGTATGGAGAAATTCTGGGGAGGCTTGTCCAAGGCGGGTTGTCCAAAGGGTTGTCCAAGGGATTGTCCGGAGTAGGCCATCCTGCCGTCATGAATCAGCCTGGACTGTCCGGGTTGTCGGAGGGATTGTCCAGGGATTTTTTTTGATTGGGTTATTTGTCAATGGGACGAGGATGAATCCGTTCCAGAGCGTCCCAAAACGCTCTGATCGGGGGAGCGTAAGACCCGGGTTTGCCAGGACCCGGGTTCGCCATCGTTTTTTGACGACCGCGCCTCGGATTTTGACGAGGAGGAGTTTCGTGGGATGTCTGCAGCGGGAGGCCTCGTCAAAACGCAGGCTCGGCCTCGTAATTTTTTTGACGACTTCGTCGGGGATTTCCGAGTCCCCTGTACCCAGGTCTTACGTCGCCCAGGTCTGAGAGCGCTCCAGAATGCTCTGGGAAGGCCACGGCGCCCGACACATTGTCTTGCCAGAGCCGCCGGGTCTCAGGGATTCCCATTTTTATCCTCACCCGATTTTGTCCTCGCCCTGGCGTCGTCTTACGGTAGGCTTGAGTCGGGCCTGTCCCTCTACAGGAGGGATGTTCAAAACCGCGTTCTTTCTAGCATGTTTCGACCGTTGTTTACCATGTTTGCGCATGTGTTGGTTCGCGTCCAGAATTCGCCTGTGGGGGGACATGCCCGACCTGAGGGTGGGCCACCCGCGGGGGGCGCGCCGAGAGTTGCGCCCCGCGGCCTCTGGCCCGGAGAGCTGCCCCTCTCCAGGGGGGGTTCTGGCGGCGCGAGCGCGCGAGGGTGCGGAGCGCACCGCAGCCCCCGGCGGGGCGCGCGTCGCGAAGCCCGGTGGCCATGGTAGAATTCAGTCGGGCATGTCCCTCCAATAGTTTTAAAACATATTCCGGGGACGACGGTACGACTGTTTGGGGCCAGTTTGGGGTATGTGTGTTTGGACTATTTGTCATTTTTCTTCCAACATCCGCCTGTAGGAGGGCATGCCCGAGCTAATGGTAGAAACGCGCTGCAAACTTCGGGGCACTCTGCGTGGGCGCGCGCGGGGCCCTGAGACCCTGGCGTTGCCCTTTTGTTCACGATGGGCGTCTTCGCTCCAGGCGCGCGGGGCCCCGACATCCTGGCGTGACCATTGTTTTCTTTCACTGCGGGCGTTGTCGCTCGAGGCTCGGGCCCCGGGACCCTCACAGATCAATGCGGCTCGGAAAATGACGCAGAAGGATGGTCTTGGCCTCCTTGATGGGGTCGGCGCAGGTGGGGTCGGAGGATCGTGCCGCATCGCCGATGCATCGCCGGTGCGGCTCGATGCGGAGCCCAATTTGCTTCACGCGGACGTCGCCGATGCATTGTCGAAGGTGCATCGCCGATGCATAGCCGGTGCGGCGCGATCCTCCGACCCCGTCTACCCCGACCGGGGGGCAGGGCTGCCGGCCCTTCAGGAGAGGCGGTCTGCCTGCCCCGGTCGTGTCCCGCGCTGCGTGGCGGGGCCGCGGCAGAGCCGTGGAGCACGGTGGGAGCGGTGCCGCTTCCAGGCAGTGGCAGCACGTGCGTTCGCCATGCTCGCGCGCGCCGTCTGGTGCGAGGCTCGCGCCCGTTTCGTCCCCGACCTCGGCCTCGACGTCGATCCCTGGACCTGCAGAGGGAGCGCGTTAGCCCCCGCCCCCCGGATGCAAAGTCTGGACGCTTCGCGTAGCGCCACCGGTATCCGTGTGTTGATCGGCCGGAGACAGGCGCCGCCAGGGCGACTTCTCCCCGCCGTTCCAGTGCCGTCCCAGTGCCGGTCGCCGCGTTCGTCCCCACCCGTCGGGATGCTCGGCTCGATCACCTGGTCGCGCTGCACGCGTTCTCGCTTTTGAACTGGCTGGAGCCTGGCGCCCATAGGCCGGCTTGTCTCCGCCGTCCCGCCGCCGGTCGCCGCGCCGTGGCGTCCCCACCCGCCGGGATGTCTGCGCCAGTCCGGTCGTTTAATTTGGGTCATTCAGTCCCTTGCAGGCGCATACGCCACTGCGGCCAATTATCTTCGTTTCGCGCCCCGTTCGTTGCCCCGCTTCTTGTCCTTCGCCAGGGAGCCGCCGACCAAAAAAAATATCGCCACCAGTCAAATTGTCTTGCAAATTAGCCCCGTACCGTGACCCGGACGCCGCTTCCGCTCCCTGTCCGTTGCCTCGGAGCCGCTGACCAAAAAAAGTATCGCCACCAGCTTGTGTCACCTACGGCACGGGTGTCGCCCTGATGTGCCTGTCGCACCTGTTCGTTTTCGTCTGGCCTTACGCCGACTCACACCGGGTGATCGACCTCTGCGTTCTGCGTGTTCATGGTCGCGCCGCCGCGCCATTTTGGCTGCGCCTACTTGATGGTCGCCACCGGGATTTCACGCCACCGGGTCGGGAGTACCGCTCCTGGTGCACTTCTGAGTGGCTGTTCGCGCGCTCGCTTCGCTCGCCCGCAATGAGGCCAACTGTAAAACTGTAGTGATCTCAGAGACCTTGGGGAGACCTTAAACCTCCCTTGGAGCACTCTTAGTGGAAGAACGGGGCGGCCCAGGTGGCCCCTACCCCGAGGACTGAAAAAAAGGCAGGGTAAATATCAGTTCCCACTCCTCGAAGACACGCATTCGTTCGACAGGAGGCGGAGAAGCTCTTCGAGGAGGTGCTGGCGTACCGCGAGGCGAAGCTCGGCAGCGGTCACCAATACGTGCTCGCGGCCAGGGACGAGTTCGAGCGGCTCAGGCACAAACGGCGATGACCACCGCGACGACGACCGCGACGACGACGACGACGCCGACGGCGACCACGCCGACGTCGTCGCCGTCGCCGTCGCGGGCTCGAGCGGCCCAGGCAGAGACGAAACGGGGTAGATTCCTGCTTCTGCACCGCGGGCGACGTCGCTGGGATCGAGGACTCATCCTCCCCCTTCGCCCCCCTCCTCCCTCCTCTTCCTCTTCCTCCTCCTCCTCCTCCTCCCCCTCCTCCTCCTCCTCCTCCTCCTCCTCCTCCTCCTCCTCCTCCTCCTCCTCCTCCTCCTCCTCCTCCTCCTCCTCCTCCTCATTGCCTTCCGGGACATCGGGGGGAGCTTATCGTCGCCATGGTTTGACGCGGCTCGAAGAAAGGTCCACGATGGTGTGTGGCATGGAGTTGTGGAGCGGTTTGGGCCAGTTTATGGCCCCCCTGCCCCATCCTCATCATCCGTCCTTTTCCCTTCCTCCCCGCAGGAATTCGCGAAAGAGTCGAACCGGAATTGAGTGGTGCAACGGCGAACTTAGGTGACACGCAGAGAAAGTCCAGTTGTTGTTTGTTTTTTGCTTTAGCGCTCTTATTGTCTCGGATTATTATGAGCTGTGTGTTGGGCTACTTCACGTACAGCGACGGGCCCTGTTTGTTATGTGCCTTTGTTGTCAGGCCCGTCTTCAGCAGGCCAAAGAGTGCTGAAAACGCAAGACCGTGGTACGACGAGACTCTGTTTAGAATGTTGCCTGCGGGCTCATGAGTTGTGCGCGCCCAGCAGAAAATGCGTTTCCTCGTCATCCTTCCTCCGGAATCCTCCTTCCATCCCTCCCTCCCTGTCTCCGGAATCTTCCTTTCTCACTTCATTTCCCCTGATTCTCATCCCTTCACCCTTCTAAGCCCTTCTCCTCCCTCACCTCTCCCTCCTCAGTCCTCCTTCGCCTCCCTTCTCGCCCGTCGCTTCTCCTCCGATCCCTCTCTCCCGAATTGCTGCCTCTCTCCCTCACTACTACTCAAACATCCTCGTCCCTCTCTCTCTCTCTCTATCGTGTCCCTCTCCGCCTTCCCTTCATCCCCCCCCCTTCCAAATCCTCCTCCTTATCTTGTACTCATGATACTCCTCATCCTGTTCCTCTTGCTCCTCCCGCTACGCGTTTCTCCTCCCCCTCCTCCTCCTCGTCCTCGTCCTCGTCCTCGTCCTCTTCCTCCTCCTCCTGCTCCTCCTACTCCTCCTACTCCTCTTCCTCCTCCTCCTCCTCCTCCTGCTCCTCCTCTTCCTTGTCCTTTCATCGTCCTCCTCCTCCTCCTTCTCCTCTTTTTCGTTTTCCTCCTCCTCCTCCTTCTTCTCCTTCTTATCATCCAAATCCTTCTCCTCCTCCTCCTGCTCCTGCTCCTGCTCCTGCTCCTCCTCCTCCTCCCCCTCCTCCTCCTCCTCCTCCTCCTCTCCTCCTCCTCCTCCTTCTCCTTCTCCTCCACCTCCTCCTTCTCCTCCTCCTTGTCCTCCTCCTCCTTGTCCGCCTCCTCCTCCTCCTCCGCCGCCTCGTCCTCCTCCTCCTTCTCCTCCTCGTCCTACTCCTCCTCCTCCTCCTCCTCCTCCTCCTCCTCATCATCATCATCATCATCATCATCGTCGTCGTCGTCATCATCAGCATCAGCATCAGCATCAGCATCATCATCAGCATCAGCATCATCAGCACCAGCATCATCATACATGTTGCACCGCCTCAGAAAAAAAAGAGGAGGAGGAGGAGGAGGAGAATAATGTTCTCAGACGGCTTGGGAGGTCGCAGGAGGTTTCCGAAGGGGGAGGGGAGAGGGGAGGAGGGGAGGTGAAAGCGCAACAGTTCGGACCAGGTCTGCTCCGCGGGCGGGGCTGCAAGCGCCCCTGCCCACGCCTCCTTCGGGGGGAGGAGCCGCTTGTAGAAATCGGGGGGGGGGGGGGGGAGAAACCCCCCCAGCGCCGTCAGGATTGAAGCACGGCTGAAAAAAACAACGCGGGGCGCGGCGATTCGGGCGTGGTACGCCCGATCCGCGCGCCCGTGGCGGAGGACAGCCCTGGCGTAGCACGGTCTGTTATGCGGGGAGGGGCAGGGGCAGAGGGGAGAGGGGCAAGCTTGGCGTGTCCGGGCCACACGTGTCATCTTGCCTCGCCCGCCAATCCCTTCCCGGTGCGGAGCGACCTGAGCAGAGCACCGATCCTGACATATGGCCAACGCTGCAGCGGGAACGCCGCTGGAAGAGCGCTCCGACCGAGAAAGCACGGCAGAGGAACAACCTGACTGGGAGACGTGGGAGCCCAGAGGGGAGAGGAGGGCAGTGCAGTCCAGACGTTGGAACAAGGACCGCCTTTGGCTCAGGAGTGGCTCAGGTTTCGGGTAGTCCCCTGCGAGCAGGAACTTTGGCTTAGCGCGTCGCTGCGCCAGTTCCGGCCCACGACGCTTCGGAGCGACACGCTATCCACGTCCCCATTCCCAGGCGTCAACGTCCCGAGCTTTTCCACCTTCCTGCCCCGCATAACGGAGCGAGACGCGTGTCGCCAGTGTCACCGCCACGGCACGCCAAGCAAAAGTTCCTGACCGTAGATTCAGGTTGGGGAAACCACTTCGTGGCCGAGGCTCGCCGTGGCCAGAAAAGCCCCCTTCTTCACTATTCTGCATTCCCTGTGAAGGCACGACGGCTGTGTGTTTATTGAGCGAGCAGTTCCCCAGATGGTGTTTGCACCAAGGGCTCTTGCTCGTCTCCTGGGTAATTGGTTCGGGCTTCTAGGTTTTCGTCCAATGGCCCGCCCGCGGCCGCCTCGTGGGCCTCCCCGTTGGCTGCCAGGCGTTTCCAGGTTTTCGCCGTGTGGCCGCCTCGTCGACGCCCCGTGCGCTGGCGGTCCCGAGGTTTCGCCGAGTGGCCGCCTCTTGGCCGCCACAAGGCTTTGCTTGCCGCTCGCACCGCGCAGGCGCATAGATTACACCACGTGGTGTGCATCACCCAGATCGCGCCAACCGCATTGCACCACCTAGCTTGCAACCATGATCGACACCCCCTGGGGCACTGCACATCACATGTATCGTGTTGCCTTACCGTTCAATTTCGATGTGAGATCAGACCATCCCAGCCAGGCTGGTATCAACTCCCCCTCACCCCTGTCAAATGATACCATGCGCGCACAGCCGTTCATCTCAAAAGATCAGTTTGCGAGAACCCCCCTGGAACACGAATAATATCCAGTCGTGCGCACATTCCGAAATCTTGCATGACACACCAGTGGCGCACGCTTTTGAAATCAGAGAAAATGTGTATACATATCTATATATATACATATATTTATATATAAGAGCAAACAGAACATCAGGCGTTGCTTGAAAACTTTGCAGATGTTCTGCCAGCGCGCACTTGGTGAAATCATTGGAAAACCATATGAGGTACGCAATGTCGTCCATTACCCGCATTATCCTTTCACGACGCGGTGGATTTGCGTTGACCTATCATGCGCCCAGTAAACGAATCTGTATCAAGTAGCACCACGCAGGCCACACGCGCGCGCCGCCACGCGCGCGTGACAAAGTCCGTCCAACATCGTTGGTTTTCGAAGCGTGTCAAGATTACACCTGCGAAAACCCCAATCAGCGGATGATTCCCCAATCAGTGCTTGCACTGAAAGGGTCCTCGCGGATGTTGAAGGATTTGGCGAAAGTGCCCCGCCGATGTTGGTCGCACGCTGGATTCCCGGGTTCCCTGTTCCGGGTTCTGGGCCGATTTCGGCGGGCGGCGAGGTTCCCGGGTTCCCAGGTTCCTGGTCGATCTTATCGATCGGTCTCTTCATCGATCTCATTACCGATTTCTCGATCGATCTCACCATCGATCTCACAATCGATCTCACTATCAATATCACAAGCGATCTCACTAGAAAATTAATACTGTGGATCTTGAGATCGATTTTGAGATCGATTTTGAGATCGATCGTGGAATCGATAGTGAGGACGATTGTAAGGTCGATCGTGAGACCGAGAGTGAAGTCGATTTAATGAGATCGATAGTGAGATCGATCGCGAGATCGTTCATGCGATCTCTAGTGAGATAGCTTGTGAGATCGATAGTGAGATCGATTGTGAGATCGATGGTGAGATCGATAGAGAAGTGGGTAATGAGATCGATGGTGAGACCGATCGATAAGAAGATCGACCCGGAACACGGAAACCTCGCCGCCCGCCGAAATCGGCCCAGAACCCGGAACCCGGGAACCGGGAATTGGGAACCCGGGTGCCCAGCGTGCGACCAACATCGGCGGGACATTTTCGCCAAATTTTTCAAATTCCGCGAGGACCCCTTCAGTGCAAGCACTGATTGGGGAAAATCGCCACAATCCTTGTCAGCCTCATCCTCATCTTCTTCCTCCTCCTTTTCCTCCTCCTCGCCCTCCTCCTCCTCGTCCTCCTCCTCCTCCTCTTCGTCTTTCCCTTCCTGCAGGTGGAGCCTGAAGCCTCCTGGCCACTCATGGCCCGACCCCATGGGGTGCGGTGACTTGTGAGAAGGCGTGGAGCGAAGGACCAGTCCTCTGGGAGAGTGCGCGGCCGATCTAGGCCTAGGTGTGACTACCTCTGGCCTGTCCCCCAAAAGTGTCCCCTCCCCATCTAACGGCTAGCATTATTCTTCCCCCACCGTCCTAATCATCAACAACATAATCATCAACAACAACAACAACAACAATCATTTTACCCTCATGCGCGATGCTTCCACACGAAGCATGCGACCATCATAATAACCATTCACATCATGGGGGACTCTTGTTCTATAACGGGGTCCGTTATTCCCATTCCCAGATCACCCGCCCAATGACGTCTTGCAAACACCTCATCCGAGGAATTTTAACATATCCCGCCTCGAAAACACATGCCCGCGCCTTGCTGCGCCGATGCGAGACCGCCAGTGGAACCCCAGCGAAGGGTAAAGCACAAGGAAGTATCGAGCGACAGGATTGCCTTGGTGGGAATGGGGGCTGTCGGCGGTGAGGCAAGGACTTGGCCCTGAATAGAAAGGGAGGAAGTCTCGAGCAGGGCTGCTGTTGTTTCTGGGAGCGGCGCCAATGCTGAAGAGAGTAGGGCGCTAGTCCAGCGTAAAACAAAACGAAGTCTCGAGCGGGAGCACTGATTGTGTCGGGGCGGCGGTTTTCGGCGGCGAGGAGGGGCACCGCCTTGAGTAAGAAGGGAGGAAACATAGAGCGGGAGCCGTGGTTTTGTCGGGACGGGGGTTGTCGGCGGCGAGGAACAGCACCGCCTTCAGGAAAAAGAAAGGAAGCCTCGAGCGGGAGCGTTGTTCTTGCTGGGAGCGGCGCCAATTCAAAAGAAAGTTGGGCGCCAGTCCAGCGTAAAACAAAACGAAGTCTCGGGCGGGAACGCTTGTTTTGTCGGGGCGGCGGCTTTCGGCGGCGAGGACGAGCACCGCCTTGAGTAAAAAAGGGAGGAAGCCTCGAGCATGAGCGTAGTTTTTGCTGGGGGCGGTGCCAATGAGAGAAAGACTAGCGCGCCAGTCCAAGGTAAAACGGGAGGAAGTCTCGAGCGTGAGCGCTGGTTTTGTTAGGACGGCGGCTTTTGGCGGCGAGCAAGAACACCAGCCCTGAGTCAAAAAAGGAGGAAGTCTCGAGCGGGAGCGTTGTTGTTGTTGGGGGCCGGTTTTGGCGGTCCCCCAAACCGCTCGAGCATGAGCCTCATTTTCAATGAAGATGTAGCCGGCGCTCGGCGAGACCACCAGAGCGCCTATAAGGGGTCCAACAATAATGCTTGTTTAGTAATTAACATGCAACAGCAACAACAACAACAACAGCAGCAGCAGCAGCAGCAGCAACAACACAACATCAACAACCGCGTCATCAACATCATCGTCATATTCGCCACACTCCTCATCATCCTCATCCTCCTTTTCATCCTCCTCCTCCTCCTCCTCCTCCTCCTCCTCCTCCTCCTCCTCCTCCTCCTCCTCCCCCTTCCCACCCCTGCCCCTTGCAGGTGGGGCCTCCATCCCCGCGCCCCTGCCCGCGGCGCGCCGCGCCACGCGAGGCGCGCCCTGCCGACCCGCGGGAATTGCGGCCGCGCGGGCCTACGAGAGGGGGGAGCGGACGGGGGCAGGCGGCGCCTACGAGGAGGAGCTGCAGGACATGGAGAGCGACGCGGCGCGGGCGGAGCAGCTGAAAGCGGAGCCGCGCCGTCCTCCGCCCGCCCCCCCCCCCCCGCTTTTTCCAACCGACGAGAAAAAAACCGGCGTCGCGAAAGAATCAGGCGACGACGACGACGACGACGACGACGACGGGAAGTTTTTGGGGCCTCGGGGGGGCCTCGCCGGGCTTCGGAGCCGTCCAGAAGCGGCTGGGGATGAAAAGCCGGCCCTGGGGAAAGGGTCGGGCCTTTCGGGGGCCGCGTCTTGAAATAATCGTGACATCGCATGTTTGGGCCCCCTTCCATCCGCGCGAAGCCAGGCTGATCCTGAGACCCAGGCGCTGCAATTGTTTCACACATGGAGTTTTCGCAGTTCTCAGGGGGGGCATGGAAGGAGGAGGGACTGGAAGGAGGAGATGGCGCCGCCGAGTTAGTGATTAAGTATGCCGCTTGTCCCGGCGGCGCGGGGCTTGAGATTGCGGCTATTTCGGTTGCTTCGTATGTTTCAGGCAGGCGGGAAGATGGAGGATTGCGCGGGGAAGCGAATGCGAGAAACGTTCTCTGTCCCGTGTCCGTTGCAGTTCTGTCCAGCGAGCAATTTTTTCCTTCGCCTCGTCGAGTTCAAGGGGCTGACGCCATTCCGCCGACCCCCAGAAGAGGCGGGGAGTCTACGGTTGAGGCGTCATGGGCTCTGTGGGCACTATCTGGGAACTCTTCTGGGCGTTTTGGGAGCTGTTTGGGGGCCTGCTGGAGCCTCCTGGAGGCAGTTTTGAGGCATCCTGGGGGGCGTTTGGGGGCCTCTTGGGAGCCTCTTGGAGCTTAATTTTTGCGGGCCTCTTATGGGCCGCTTGGGGTCTTCTTGGGGCGGAAAGATATGATTTTCGGTTCTTGTTCTCCCTCTTGGCCTCTCTTGGGGCCTTCTTGGGGCGATCTTGGGCCGTCTCGGGCCCCTTGTTGGGGCCTCTTGGGCAGTTTTGGGGCGGTCCACGGGGCCTCTTGGGCCGTCTTGAAACGTCCGAAGCTGGAGAAGACGATAGCTCCAGAAACAATGAAACCAAAGGATCTACATGGATTTGTGCCTCTCGGGGCCCGCTTTGGAAGGCTCTTGGGACTCCTTGGAGCCATCGTAGGCTTCGTGGGTCAATCGTTCGGCGATTCGGGAACGTCTTGGAGCGCCTTTGAGGCCACGGAAGGCAGATTTGGAAGCTCTGGAGTCTCCGGGGTTGCGCCAGGGACCCCGACCCCCCCCCTAAAACGAGAATTTGGGCCCTGGGGGAGAGGGAAAGGGGAGGGAGACAGCCAATCATCTCACACGCCTTCTTACCAACGGCAAGCGGGGGTCGGTGGATTCTTCCATTCTCTCTCCTCCGCCTCCGCCCCCGCTTGCGAAAACCTTTTGAGGCATTCAGCTTTGGTCACGCAAACACACACACACGCACACGCACACGCACACGCACAAGCACACGCACACGCACACGCACAAACACACACACGCACACACACACACACACACGTCCTAGAATCCGACCAAGCTGGACACCTCTCGACAGCACCCATCGATGATGTTCACCCCTGTCAAGAGAATATAAACAGTATGTACAGGCAAGTGGCACGACACAAAACGATTTGCACCATGGGTTGCGACAGACGCCCTGGGCCACGGAATCACGAGCTGTTTTCCGCCCTGTCCCTTTGCGCCATTGTTTGAGCCAGACACCCTGGGCCTCGAAATCACCAGCTGTCCCCCGAGCAGTGCACCACTTCTGAGAGGTCAAAGGCCAGGTTACAGGTTACAGCAACCGCCCTCGCTCTCCCCAGAGGCTGAAACTGTTTGGATACCTCCAGAGACGGGAAGAAGCGCCCATGATGGGGGCACGGAGGCCTTTCGTAATCATAGAGGTCGAGCCTCCGCCTCGAAGGCCTTTAGCCCTGGAGCCTCCTCGCAGGATGAGGGCACCCGAAAGAACCCCGAACAAAAAGTGCAAGCCATCACGAAGAGCGAAAAGGTCCCAGACCCCCGACGTCGTGATTTTTTCACAACGGCCACCCCCAGGGGTCTGGACCCCTTCCCCGGGACGGGCTTTTCATCCGGAGTCCTTTTTTGACGGCCTTGGGGCCCGGTGAGGGCTCCCGGAGGCCGAAAAATGCGAAGCACCTCCCGTTGTGTTTTTTTTCACAGCGCGAGGGGGTCTGGGAACGGTAGCAGATCAAGGACGAGACCACGAGCGCGATGAACAAGATTATCACCACTGCCTTCCACATGGTCCACTTGATCAACTTCTTCACCTCGGGGCCAGACGAGACCAGGGCGCGGCCGCCCCTCTCGAGTCGAGGAGTCGAGGGGGCAGGGAGGAGGAAGAGGAGGAGGAGGAGAAAGGAAGGAGGAGCTGCAATGGGAAGGAGGAGGACGACGACGACGATTAAGAGGATGAGGAGGAGGAGGCGAGCGAGCAGCAGCAACTTGGTATGGAGGTCGCGAAGTTGAGCGCTGCAGGCCTGCCCCCCTGTTTATCGCTTACCCTGCATGCTCATCCTCTCCCCGCCTCCCCCCCATCTTCGTAATCATCATTCCTTTCCTCCTCCTGCTCCTCCCGTGTCCTCCCGTTTTTCTTCCTCCTCCTCTTCCTCCTCCTCCTCTTCCTCCTCCTCCTCCTCCTCATCCTCCGCCTCCTCCTCCTCTTAATCGGCGTGGGAAGGTCCGAGTCGTGATCGACCCGCCAGGAGGGTACAGATTTCCCTCCCCTGTGAAGACTTGCAGGGCCCCTGGCCAATCCCGTGGACAGGAGGGGAGCGGGCCCTGTAGCACATGATCGAGTACCGCACTCTTCTCACTCTTGCATTGTACCGCCATGGATTCCTCATGAGTGACCAGCAGCATGACCAGAACGCGCGCCACGCACGCTCGAAAATCGCGACATGCAAGTAGTTCGATGTTTTCTCATTGCATCACCGCCGCTCCGAGTGCATCAGGGGCTGGAGTGGTTCTTCCGCCGCTAGGTTTGGGTTCCTACGAGGGTGCCGTAGAATCACAGGAAAAAAACACAAGGAATGGACGATCAGAGTTTGAAAATAGGCCAGGGGAAAGGTCGGTTCCGACCAACTATTTTCATGTACTGCTCTCTGTTGGTTCGTGGTTGAAACACAATATACAGCTGCAGTCAAGTGGGGGCGGGGCCGGGGGAGCATATCAAAAAACAACGAATGGACAGCACACGGACACAATATTTCAGACGGAGTGCAGCAAGGACGGCTTCATGGGTGGCAGGCTTGTGCGGCAGAGTTATTGGATATCTGTTGAAGAGCGACTCAAGCCGAGCCGATGCGTATACTATTTAACACAAGTCGAAAGTTGGCAGGTTGCGGGTCCAGCTTCACATTCGTTTGCACGGCGCACAGAGAACGTCGACAAGGCACTCAAGGAAGAGAACAAAATGACCATGAAGAACTTGAAGGGGCCGTTGCATTGAGCCACACATTCACAAGAGAGGAGATACAGGACCGTTGTATCAAACAATAGGAGGTATGCTGAATTACCTGGGTTAGTTTGTAAGCGAACGAGTACCTTAGAGCATGTGTTCGATGATTTGCAAGAAGCGTGCAGCAATAACGATGTGTCTCATGTTCAACGTGAGGATGGTCTGTTGTTGGAGCAGATATACGAGCTTTTGGAAACAAGCAACAAACCATGAACAGTGGAAGGGGATCAGGGCGCGATTGTCATCTCCACGTGCCGACGCAGAAGTAAAACAAGCTCTCGCGGATTGGATGGACATCACATTAGCAGCACAACTAATCACGACTTTCATACAATGCAAATGTTCTAGCCGAGCTAGCCCACTCGCCACCAAGAGAAACACTCGCGGCGCGTTTGGCGCCGAGGCGAGTCGATTCCGTCGTTCGGTTGCCGCGGCGGCCCCGCCCCCCCTTGCCGCTGCCCCCCCCCTCGCCCTCGCCCCCCCCCCCCCCCCCTTCAACGAAAACGCGCCGGCGGAGCTCGCCCGCCGCCAAGAGCTCGCGGCGCGTTTGGCGCCGAGGCGAGCGCCGCCCGTCGTTCGGACGTCGGGGGGGGGGGGGATTCGGCACTCTTCGCGCGGGCCTTCTCGGGGAGGGGAGCTCGCGGTCGCCGCGAGACGCCGCCAGCCCCCAGATCCCGCGCTCAATGTTCTAGCCTCGGAGGTGAGTTGCCCTCCGCGACAGGCCGCCTTCTTCGGCCTTGCTTCGGCAAGGCCCGATGGGGGGGGGGGGGGCGCGGGCAGGCCTCGGGGGTCAAACTGAACTGGCCCCAGGCCCTCGCATCCGCATTCCCCCGCAGGGACACCCGCAAGTGGCGCGTTGCCGCCGCTGCTGCCCCCCCCGTCGCTGTCGCTGTCGGCGCCGGCGTCGAGGTCGACGCTGCCGCCCCCAGGGGCCGGGCGACCATGCGCGCCCAGCGCCGCGGGGGGGGCAGGAGAGGAGGACGTCATCAGAACGAAGGGGAAAGGAGGAGGAGCGCGCGGGCGGCGGCAACGCGGGCAACAGTTGTCGCGGGCGCGGCGGTAGGCAGATGAAACAATATGGCCGTGGCGACATTCGCCGCGGCGGGGCGGCGCAGGGACTTCCCCCCTGCCCGCGGGAATATCCGGGGGCGCCACCCCCAGCGCCACCGAGGGAATCCTCACCTCTCCCGCCGAGGCAGGCGGCGGGGCCCCACTGAGAAACTAGAAGCAGCAGAGGGGCTGAGGGAGGGGGGGGGAGACAGCGGGGGGGCGCGCGCGCGACGCCTCTCCTCCCGGCTCCGCAACGCGCCGCTCCAGCTTCTGTCCGCATCTCTCCTCATCCGGGCTCGAGGGCCGCGAGCCCCGGCGCAAACCCTCCTCGGCATCGGGCCGGGGCAACCCGGAGGTGGAACTAGGTCCCCGCCAGGCGCAGGGGGGTCGCGCAATCCCGCGGCGGCGGCCGCCGCACCTTTCTCGGAGTTGCAAAAAGAAGCGAGCAGCTGCGGGCAGCAAGCCGTTGACTGAAAAGCAGACGCCTTCTTGGCGAAGGAGAGGAGATAAAACGGGAACGCCCCCAAGCTTCTCGCAGATCTGCGCGAGGCAAGTGGCCGACGCAAAGTGGCAAGGGAGACAGGGTTGGCCAGGTTGGGCAGCGCTGATGGCAGCGGGCGGCGACCACCCAGGCTTGGGCCAGGGCGGCGGCGCATTGTCGTCGCCCCCCAACCCCATGACCCCACCCCGCGCAACCAACCGCGCCCATTGAAGCGGCGAGCACCTGCGCGGTTATCTAGTGCGCGAGCACGCGGGGGGAGTTAGGGGGAACAGATCAGAAGAAACGGGGGAAGAAGGGGTGTCTTGCGGCGCTCGCAGGGTGGCGCAGGATGGCGATGCGAGAGGATTGGCGTCTGAGCACCGGCGCGCCGGTGGCAAGGCGTGAGCGGCATGCAAATGGCAGCGGGCAACAGGTGCGGCGAGGGGGCGAGGTGGCAGCGGCTCGGCTGCGGCCGCGGCCTCGCTGGCCAACGCCAGGATGGCCGACGGCAAGGTCCCCCATTCCTCCCGCAGCGCTTGCGAGGAGAAGCCTCCCCCCCGCTAACCGACTACGCCGGCACGTCGGCGCGCGCGGCACTTTGCGGCGCAGAAGTTGGACGAGGCGCAAAAGGAAGACCATCGATCAGCGACGGCGGCAGACGCGGGCAAGAGTGGCGGCGCAGGGAGCGCACGGGCAGTGGGAGCGGTAGATGCACGGCGAAGTGTGGCGGGCGATAGTTGGACAGGGCGGGCGGCGCCGACGGCGGCGGGCCGCGGCCGCCCTGGCCCTGGCCAGGGCGGCCGGCAACGAGCCCCCCTCGGCGCGAAGTAGCCCCCCGATCCCGCCGCCGCAAGAGCGGGAAGGCGAAGGTTTTTAGGGCAGGCGGTAGGCAGGCATATCGGGGGGAGGGCTGCAAGGAGGGAGTGGAGGTCGGGGGAGAGGCCCGCGTCGCAGCCCTCGTGGATAGTTGGCCTTTCGCTCTGTCAATTCCGAACCCCGGCCCAAAGGCTGGCGATGAAGAGGTCGCGCCAAAGAGGTGCGTGAGAGAGCTCGATCCCGTGGTTTCAGCGTGGGCATAGGCTGGGGCCCACCTAATCCTCCCGGCGGTAGGTCGGCGCCACCCAATGGACCCGCCGCAACCTGCATGCGCCAGCGTCGTCGCGGCGAAGTAGCTGCGGCGAGTGCCCGCAGAGAGCCGTCGCCGCCATCGCGGACGTCGGAGCGGCAGAGCGGCCGCCGCAGATGCCGCGACGTCGCGTGCTGCCCGGGAGTAACGATGTAGGGGAAGTGAGAATTAGAGCCAGTCGCTGCTTCTGTCGGCGACAGCAGGCGCGGCGGCCCGGACAAAGGATAGCGCAGAGTTCGGGCGCGTGGAGCGGGAAAAGTCGGCCGTGGTGCTCGTCGCGGTTGGAGCAACAATTTGGTGAATTGCGCGACGCAGCGGGCAGGCCCCCTCGCGGGCAGGTCTCACCGCGGGCATGGGAGGGCGGCGCTCGCCTCCTCGCCGAGGAGGGGGTGGGAGGAACAGCGCAAGCAGTGGCACCTCGTTGAGGTTGGCCGTGCCACGGGCCTGCTCTGCTGCATAGCGAGTTGGGTCGGCGTTGACGACGTTCCCCTAGCTTCACGGTGCGGGCGGTTGCGGTACACCTCGTGGACTGGTCTGCCGAGGCGGCAGCTCCCGCGCGCGCGCGTCGGCGGCGTGCGCGCGTCGGCTTGGCGTCGGAGGATGCGTCTGCAATGGTGGTACGTGGTACCGATCAAGTACTCATAGCCAGGGAAGAGATCGCCCTCGTTGCTGTCGCCGCCTGCGTTCACTTCGGTGGTGAAGATGGGGTAGCGGGGGTCCAGCCCATGGTCGATCTTGAATTCCATGTTCGGGCCGTCGATGATCATTGGCTGGGCTCTTGGACTCTTGGACCCGCTCCTAGGTTGCGATGCCCATGGTGGGCATTTCATCGCTGTGCCGTCGCAGGTCTGGCAGCTGGCCCCTCGGGCGGCGTCGGTGCGAGGATGGCGCCAGTCCCCGTGCGCAGGTGGCCACGTCGGTTTGGCGGGTGGCGTGGGATTTCTCGCCTGCCCCACTGGTCTCGGCAAGTGGGTTGTAGGCAACTGCATCGGGTGCGATGGTTGGTGGGGCGGCGTTGGTTGGAGCGCTACTGTTCGGGGGTCGCCAATGGGCAGTCGGGGTTGGGCACGGCGTTGGTCTGTTGGGTCATTGGGGCCGTTTGGGCCGTCGTCTGGCTTGGGCCCGTCTGGCTGGGCGGTGGCGTCGTCGTGGGTGGGTGTCGCCGTCGGGTGCGA